AACCAATTGTCAAACAAGTCTTGTTTAGACCAAAAAATCGAAAGTTGAAAATTATAAAGTACGAAATTGTTTAATTTGAATTTAAAAGTCTCAAAATTTATTTAGAATTAATGAATTATTCATTTCATATGAGGGAAACTTTGAAATAAATGTATGAGTTCACTAATCTCCAACAAAAATGTTGGTGAAACGAATAGAAAAATTCCAAATGCAGTTTTATATGGTTTAAATGCATCGTTTCTCTAGGTGTATAATGGTCGGTCTTAATAATTATTAACATTTAGAATTATTCAAAATTATTTTACATAAGAAAATCTCAAATTTGTGAAAAATAGGAAAATAGGAAATAATTTACTTGCCACAAGTAAATGTATATAAATATTTGCATGTTCTATTAATCGTGTCATCATCTGCAATTTCAGCAGGGTTAGTAGAGCAGGGTTAGTAGATAATTTCGACTGAGCGGCACAGAGAAATACGAACCAATTGTCAAACAAGTCTTGTTTAGACCAAAAAGTCGAAAGTTGAAAATTATAAAGTACGAAATTGTTTAATTTGAATTTAAAAGTCTCAAAATTTATTTAGAATTAATGAATTAGTCATTTCATATGAGGGAAACTTTGAAATAAATGTATGAGTTCACTAATCTCCAACAAAAATGTTGGTGAAATGAATAGAAAAATTCCAAATGCAGTTTTATATGATTTAAATGCATCGTTTCTCTAGGTGTATAATGGTCGGTCTTAATAATTATTAACATTTAGAATTATTCAAAATTATTTTACATAAGAAAATCTCAAATTTGCGAAAAATAGAAAAATAACAAACACTGAGAAAAAAATTGCTTTTGCCAAGCATATTTACTTGCCACAAGTAAATGTATATAAATATTTGCATAAGACATGTTAATGTCAAGTAAATTTTCTTGTAGTTGGTAAATATACTTGGCAAATGCAATTTTTTTTCTCAGTGAAGGGTGTTCATTCAAGGTCATGTGTAGCATAATCTTTTCATAAGTTAACACAAACGTAATATTTGGAAATGCACGTAGACCACCTGGGAATGACGGGCCTGGAGAAATACGCTCCTAAAAAAATTAACCCTTTGCTTTGTCTCACGGAACCCCAATTTTCACCGTTTTGTAGTGGTTGTGTGCGACCTCCTACTCCTCTCTTACCAAGACGATTCGAGACTTACGCGAAGCAATGGCTTAATTCTTCTCCCATGAAAATGATTCTTTGGCAAAAGTAATTTTTCTTCTCAGTGTGGGATACCTAAATCATTTTCTAGCATATTATGATTTATATTGGGGCATTACTCTATCTATTGACAGCACAAGCCAAGGCTGAGTCGCGAAGCAGACGTAGTACTTTCCAAAACCCTCTTTCATCACTCTGTAATTCTAAAAAGAGCAGTTAAGATTGTTCTCCAGTAGCGGAATTTCCTTAGTCATAGATTAGTGTTGATGGGAATATTTACATGCAGGTCAGACGAATGAATATCATTCTCAGGAAAGAAAATGGATCTGATGATTTTGCCAACGATCGCGTAATTCCCCTGTTCGATTTTACTCTGCCGTTCATCCGGCGAGTTCTCACTCTGGAATCTCTCCCGCATTTTCTCACGATACTGCAAGAATATTTCGGAATGATTTTTCCTCGTCAGTGTCACAGGTTTTGTCCACTCACCTGCTCCTCGAAATAGTCATCGAATTTGGGAATCGGACCCTCTCGACCCCATGTTAAATTGGCTTTTAAGAATTGATCGGCTGTGTCGATTCTGAAAGTACAGTGAGGGTGACCGGGGTAAAATGGGATAGTGAGGGTAGCGAACAAGTGGGCCGAAAATGTAAACAATCTATCGTCAATGAATCAGAGATGAAATATAAGGAAATCTCGTCGTTAAAAAATCAAATTTTTCATTGATTTTTTAATTATTTTTATTAATCATCCGAAATCATCAATAGAAACTAAATAAATTTTGAAAAAATGTTGTAAATTCAAGTCAGTTTTTTTCGAATTTCTAATCTATTGACAATTGAGCGCATTTTGGTACTAAATATTCATGTTCATTCGTAAAATGACAATAACATAATCTTCATAACTGTCATTTATATTTAGTTTAATTACGCTTTTAGTGAAAAGTGGAAATTTCGCGGAACATTGACAAGTAATTTTCAGGAGAGTGACATTACATTTGATTCTAGGGGGGAAAATCATGAAATTTTTATTTTCAATTAAAATTTAAAAGATTCCCAAATTTTTTGCTGTCACAGAAAGATGACAATTTCCCAATTTATGGATCTAATTACCTAAATTGTTCTGATTTCTATCAATTCACATGGAATAATTGATCTGAAATTAACATTCTCTACATATGGGTTTTGTCATTAAATTGTGAATTTTAAATGACGAAATTCCTTGAAGTTTCAGAGAAACTGTCACTTTACAAATATCTCCAAAAAATGGAGAATAAATTTCTTTTGTGTACTACTCATTTTCACTGAAAGAGTTGATTGAAAAAGCTTCCCTCTTTCTTCGCACCTTTGTTCATAGTCTGGAGTGGTCAACCTCGCTGCCAAACTGCTGGAGTAAGCGGTGACAATGAGAAGCCCAGCGAAATGCCAGAGTTGCAGTTGAACGCGAAGCCCAACTGTCTTCCTAGGCGCCCAAGAACCCACGAGGCGGCCAATTAATTCGGTGAGTGTATTCGAAAAACTTTTGAACCCTACAGTAAGAAATTCCGAGTAACAGTCACAGTACAGGATTCCAGTGGAATTTCTCTAAGAATTAGAGAAGAAGTTCTAGTTCTCGAATTAGCTGTGGAGCAGTCGAATTCCAAAAAACTAATTCGTAATTGTTATTGTACACATTTTTTTAATTTTTTTTTTTGAAAATCGCATCATCAACACTTCAAGGGTCAAAAAATTGAGGGTCTAAAAACTTAGACGCAAATCTTTTTGACCAGAAAAGAAAAGAAAAAGTCTCAAAGATTTTCAAAAAAAATTGTCCTCCAAAGATCGTCTAAAAAATGGCGTCCGAAGATAAAAAAAAAATGTCTTCCAAAGATCTTCTTAAAAAATGGCTTCCGAAGATCTAAAAAAATCGGCTCCCAAAGATATTTCAAATTTGTCTTCTAGAGATTTTTCGAAGTTTTCTCTGGAAGATATTCGAAAGACAGAATTTTTTTTACTCCATCGAACAATAAACAATTAATTTTTTGCACTAATTATTCATTTTTAGACACATATAATCGATCTCCAATGCATGAGAAATGTCACTCCAATAGCCCGCGACTTTTAAAACTCATAGTAGTCTCCCCTTAAAAGCAAAACCGAAATCGTGCACTAGATAAAAGTTCTCTCTTACTCGAGGGTACTTTAGGATTAATCCACGCCTTGAACCAGACATTGAGGCTCTGCATGGCTATCGTAACCGCCACTGCAATCCAAACCTCCAGGGTGATTGGTCTCGTGAGGGCCCAGAAGTTGATGATCGGATGCGGCCGGGGTACCAGGAAATGTATCGACACTTGGTACCACGGCACTGATAAATTCACGTATCGGAACGGGTCGTACATGAACCAGATGCCACCGAACGCAAGATCAACTTCCTTCCTGAATAGCTGACCGATCATTCCGCCGTGCCAAGTGGAATTCATTGCCCTTCCGTATCTAATAACAGTCAAGCCCACAGAAATGACGCGTTTGAGTCAAATTCAATCCTTTATTCAAAGGTTTTCTATTCATTTCAACATATTTTTGTTGGAAGTTGATAAATGGATGTTTTCAATTCCAAATTTAACATCATCTAAAATGTTATAAAATTGTAAAATTTCCGACAAAATCTATGGGTTCAGATTTTTTTGTTAATTTTAAGTGGCTTGTAATTAGAGTTGAAAAAAGTTTGCAGAAGAAAAAAAAATTCAATCTTCAATGGCTCCGCCAATAATTGAGTTGAGAGTTTCATTTGCGCTCATTTTTCTCCTTTTGGACAATACTTTCCGATAAAAAATAGAAATTTTTTTTAAAATTTTGAGGCAATTTTTCGTATACAGAATTATTATATTTGCTCATATAGTATGACTTCACAACAGCGAGAGAAAAAATTAGTTCTGTCGGAGAATTGATTAATAAAATGGATAACATTGATTGATAAAATTGTTAAAATTTGAATATTTAATGTGATGATCACTCGACTAATTAGAAGTGTAAGAGTAATGTTATCCAATTGACGGCTTCAAAAATTACCGGTAATTATGATTTATGAATATGGCTATCTCTGTTGCCATGGAACTAATAATAATTTTAAAAGGAAACTAGAATTTCCTTGTTGAAAACTGTGTTATTGGCAAAACCAAATGACTTCGAGGGGACAATTTTTTTTAGGAAAAAAATATTCTTTTCTCGTCAATGTATTCTTTCCATCGTTTTTTACGGCTTAAAAGGGGAAAAAACGTGTGACATAATATTTGAATGGCTCCTTAAGACTTCTGTTGTATTACTTCTCCTTACCGATATCCTCCGTTAGGTTTCCGAATCATCCACGTGAAATTCAGTTGCTTAGCAATTATCATGAACAGCTTTACCTCAACTCCGTCCCACTCCATTGCTTGCAAAAAAAATCAAACGTCGAATAAAAACATTATTTCATGGAGTCGGAGTAGACTAACGCCACGAATTAATTACTATCATTTGACGAGAAAAATTCCCCCTCGATTCCATTCACCGTTCTATTCTCACTCGTCGATAGATAAGACAGTGGTGGGACGTAAAATGTGGCCACCTGTAATTCACGCCCTTCCAGGTCAACAATACCCTTGTTGTGTTTCATATCGGAGTTACTGTCAATCAAAAAATGTGGAATTATACGAGTGTTCAGTTTTGCCGAAGGGGTGAGCACGAAAAAAATTAATATTATAGAAAAACCCAGCGAATTCGCCACAGAAGACAATTTTATTGGATTTCTATTAAACTTTCTCTTAATTTTCGGCCGATTCTACTGAAATATTTTCTATAGAACTTCCTCGAGTCTAATGTTCCAAGTTTTTTTATTCCATTTTTCTTTTCTTTTCATCGAGAAAATCAAATAAAAGGATTTAGAAAATTTAAACCGAGGAAATTTTATAGAAAATATCGCAATAGACTAAATTGTATAGAAAAATCGAACTCTATTGACCAAAAAACAATGAAAGTTCAATAGAAATCCAATAGAATTGTCTAGTGAATTCGCTAGAATTTCTATGGAATTTTTTCATACGTCTTCATCGTTAACAGATCCTGTACCTGGAGACTTTTTTGAAAACTCGGGGTAGGAGGAACATCTCTGATAAACTCCATCTGCCTGTTCGCGAAACAAGATTGACGTTTGCGTTCTCGTAGATGGAGGCATTGAATAGAAGAGAATTTTTCTCAATTTCAGCATTGAAAATTATGAGAATTTCGGTTAGAGCGATGGTTGTAGGAACTCTGGAAAATAAGGAATTCATGAATACCGAGATACATTAAGGATAAGCAAGAGGAACAGTTCCTGCGATAGAATAAATTTTCTGAAATTGCAATTTTGGGATCTTTAGTCGAAAAATCGTCTGAGAGTTGATGGCGCGTATGAAACAATTCAATATAAAAATCGCGCGCTAAAAAATTCTATTAGCATTCCATTGGAGTGGTTTCCGAATTTTATTTTAAAGAATTATTCATTGTTCGGGTTAAGTTCTGTAGAAAATTATGCATATTTGAAAAGGAATTAATAGTCTTTAATTTCTCTTTGGTGATTGTTCTCTTGAGAGAACAAATTTTCTGAGTTTTCTTCTGCAATTTTTTTCGTTTTTTATCAGAAAATCCATCAAGAAAAATTAGAAAAATTTATACTCAAGAATTCCTGTAGAAAAAATTCAACAGAATAAGAGAAACAGTAAAATAGGATAGTATAGTATCATTTGTGTGTAAAATCCCCCTTTCCACGCATTGTGATAAAAAATCGGGTTCGACACTAGTGGGAATAAGTGTTCTTTGACTCTCGGGAGAATAACACTCGCCTTCGGCGTGCGCTACACACCTCCCACGGGTAAAAAAACACATTTGCGCCCTCGTATCCCTATTACGTATCCCGTATTACGCCCTCAGAATGAAATATTTCAATATATTTTAGTATAAACTTTTCAACTGCACTGATGAGACTCGTCGATTCCTCCGCAAGCAAGAAATATGCATTACACTTGCGGTTGATTTTGTTAACCGTATAATCATGCCCATACAATTTGATAAACTGGTGGAACAATGCGTTCACCCCGTCGGTCACCCCTGGAACATAAAATTTATCTCAAGTCACATAACTCGAAGAAAACCAAGGGGCTAGTAACTTTCGAAATTACGGTGCCACTTGACGGTATAATCGTTTGGAAATCATGGAAATCACACGATTTCCAATTCGTGAATTGTGATTTCTAGCCTTTGGCAATCAATGAAAACTAAAGATAAATTAGTCTACTCTGTGGATTAGGGTCGCTTTTTAACTGAACAAAAAAGGGTCCCTCGCCAGAATTCCCTTTTTTCTCTAATGTATTCCGTGGAAGGAATTTATGAAAAAGTAAAAAAATATTTCTAAAGTGATGATAAATCAAAAACAACTTTTAATACACAATTCATTAGTCAGCAGAAGGTGTTTTGAATGAATTTGTATTGAATTTAATAAACCAATACGGTTTGATGAATCAATATGTACCCGTGTAGAAAAATTTCTGTCTTTAGAAGCTCTTCTAGAAATCTTGGGAAGAATCTTCGAAAGATTATGTAGAAGATCTGCTTGGTGACCCAAAAAGAATCTTCAGAAGACAAAATCTTTCAAAGACAATTTTAATTTTCGACCCTTACTCCTTTAATCCTTACTGTTTTGACGCTCAGATTACTAAGCTCTGAATTTTGGAATTTTGACCCTTAAAATTTTGTCTTCTGAAGAATCTTTTTGGGTCACCAAGCAGATCTCCCACATAATCTTTCAAAGATTCTTCCCAATATTTCCGGACAATCTTTGAAAGAGAAAATTTTTCTACGCGGGATACGTTAAAGTTTTTTTAATGGGAAGAAAAAATTTAGATTTTTGAAAAATGCGCGAGTTTTTTTTTTTGCTGAACAAAGTTATGGAAATTGTTGATTTCCTTTCCATGAAATCGTTGGAAATCATTGGAAATCAATGAAATGAGTAATCATGGAAATCATTTTGGAAATTGATTCCATTTGTCAAAATCATGATGTCGAATCTTGTCTCAAAATCGCGCTCACAGACCCCTTGAAAAAACCAACAACGAATAATTTACCCTCGACGAAGATATTGCAGCACCTGGATCCCCCGAAGGAATAATCAATCATGCCCTTGAAGTCCTGATCATCCAGCCAAGATGCTCTTTGAAAATCAATCATGACATTCCTGTCTCCACCAACAAAATTGCCCGTTAGGCCCAGCAACACCACACACTTCCACATTATTCATGCGAAAAATGTTGAACTTCTTGTATTCGCGAGGGACATAATCAACACTCTGACAACACCATCAGCCGTGTTCCTGTCCCTTGCATGACATTAAACTTCACACTGAGCGATCAATAACATTGTTTCACATCATAAGTCTCGGGAAATCTCTCGAAAGGATCTTGCTCCGATCGTTTATTTTCACGCCAATTTTTTTCGCATTTCGAGTCCCGTCCAATGGGCGTTCACCGCCTCAAAAAGCTTTGCGTGCTGAGGCAAACGTTTATTCCTTGCAAAGCCGAAAGTGTAGTATTACTTTGTATTTCCATTCGACCCAAGTGTTGATGATAAGATCGGCTACACTGATGTGGGGAGCGATAATCTAGATTAATTGCTTCTCCTCTTCATTCGTAGTTTTTCCTTACTTTACGCTATTATTGACGGAATATTCAATACGACGGGTAATTGACGTGGGGCATCAAGAATTATAAGTTCAGTTGGCAATGTTTCTTCTGTGGCCATTCGGGTCACGTCTGATATGCTACACTGTTAAAAAAATTTAACTGAATTTTTCAGAAAATGACAATGAATTCAATTTAACGGAAAAAAGTCTATGAAACTTCAAGTTTCCCTGAAAGTTCAAGGAAATTCCTGATTTTTCAGTGGAAGAACCATGAAGATTCCGAAATTTCCATGAATTTTCAATGTAAACATGATAATTCAATAAGAAATTGCTCTGAAATTTCAAAAAATTGAAAATTCAAGAACATTTTTGCTTGAATTTTCCTAATTTCCATGAATTTTCTGCTGTTGAAATACAATAGAAATCTTTTCGTATCTCTACTAAAAGTGTTTTTCATTTTGATGAAATAAAATAGCAAACAAGAATAACTAAATGCTATTAATTTCTCATAAAATTGTGATACTATGGAAGAACGTTAAAATGTTAAAAGCCGACAATCTATAGATCCGCGTATGATTAGTATAAAAAAATCCATTTTCTGTGGTATAATATTCCACCAGAGGATAGAATCAACTGCGCTCATTAGCCCTAAATCAATAAAAATTTCCGCATATCATTGTGCGGCTAATGTACCATAAAATACAGCAAACGTGCTGTAGCCCATTTTTCCGTTGATAAAAAGGCTTTGCATCCAGTCTCATAATTTCACCCCCCCCCCCGTACTTTCTTATCTTATCAATCGTTTCACAATGTGTTTTCGGCGAGTACATCAGTCGCACTCTATCGCCCCTGACGCGCATTGTCATAATACTCGAGAATTAAATACTCTTAATCCTGAGAAATTGCGAGGCCTCCCGCTGTGTGCAGTGCTTGATTGAACTTGCCACACGCGGTCACTCCAGAAATCGCAGTTTTAATCAACTCCATTTCATGAATTAATTTTGGCTGCTCATTTTACGGAATAAGTGGCACTCTGAGAGGCTATTCTGGTGATATACAACTGGCGTGCATTAATTTACATCTGTTCAGAGAGGTCATTCTTTCTGGCTGAAGTTGTTCGGTTTTTATTCTCTCGTGACATTCAAACTCCGCGTCATGGCGACAATTAACGCTTTCGGGGCTCTGAGGAGGTCTTGCTGTACAGTTAAAAGTGAATATCTGGTGTCTGCTAAGGATTTAACGCACACGTATGACGAAAATTCATAGAATAAACTAGCGAATTCGCTAGACGGTTCTATTGGATTTCTATTGAAATGTTTAATAGAAAATATTATGCAGAAAAAGTCAAGAGAAGTCGATTTTTCTATGCAATTTATTCGATTGAGGTCTTTTATGTAGAATTTTCTCGGCTCAAATTTTCCTAAGTTTTTTCATTTTATTTTTCTTTTCTTTTCATCAAGAAAATTGAACAAAAAAATATGGAAAATATCTGAGCCGAGGAAATTCTATAGGAAATATATAATTGAATAATGAAGAAAAAATATCTCAATAGAATAAGTTGTCTAGAAAAATCGAATTCTATTGACTTTTTCTGTAGAAAATTTTCTATTAAACATTTCAACAGAATTGATCAAAAACTAATAGAAAGTTCAGTAGAAATCCAATGGAAAGGTCTAGTGAATTCGCTTGCTTTTTCCATTAATTTTTTCGTGTCTTAAGCTGCCGCGTGATGACTACATTCGTAAGTATTCATGAAATTTTCATTAAATTCATTGTTGGTTTTTCAGGCCAACGGAATTTTTCGAACGTTGGATTCATCGGCCTCGGAAACATGGGCAATAGCATGGCCAAAAATATTATGAAAAAGGTAAATTCAGGATGAGCTTAAGGTTCCAATATCTTTATTTTAAAAAAATCGGAAAGACGTAGAATCCAGGACGAAGAATTCCCTGAAGATAATACTGCCCGTAGGAAACGAAAATCGTGGGAAAGTCTAACGTATTCTTTCAGGATATATTTTTCTATAGCCAAATTCACTGAGAAAACAAGTTTATGATTATCAAGTTACTTAAGTAAATAAAGTATATAATTTAAAAGAAATGTTATTATCAACTAAGTAGAAAATATTGAAGCATGAAGGGAAACAAAAAATAATAACGATAATAATAATAATTATAAGAATAATAACTGGGCGACCTGTTATGGAATGTTCTATTCAACCCTAATTAAGAAGGCTCGCAAACTGAGTGCTTTCTTAATCAATTTCTGCATTTAGTAATGTAATTTTTCTTCTTTCCCTCACTTCGCCTTGCGTACTCAATCACTTTCACATATAAAATTGATGTACCCCCACACGGAGAGAAATGTTCAGTAAAAATTACGGAACTCTCACTTCACTCAGCGATTACGGAATCGACTCAGAAAATTTAAGTGACGGTACCTATCGTAATTTTTCACAAGAGATTCAGATAAATTCCGTGACAGTTTCGTAAAATTTCCTACAACCACATTTCGCTCCGGAATTACGGAAAAGATACGTAATTTTTATTGAAGATTTCTCTCCGTGCACCGCCATAGGGCACAGTCCCTGTAAGGCAGCTTATTGGAATAAATAAAGTAATAAAAATAATTATCAAGTTACTGATAACTGAAGTTGCCCCTGAAATAAGGAATTTTCAAGCCCAGACACGTCAATGAGAATTTCTATTGTAGGGTTTCAAGTTAAACGTTTTCGATATCAATTCATCGGCGGTAACGAATGTCGTTGAAGCTGGGGCTACTGCCGCTCCGAATGTTGCGGAAGTTGCAAAAAATTCTGAGGTTGTCATTACTATGCTACCTGCGAACGATCACGTGTGGAATTGTTACACAGGAGAAAACGGCCTTTTAAGGTAAATGTTGAAAGCTCCCCCGAGAACAAGAAAAAAATTGTCATCAAACTAAAGGTGATTTCACGTTTTCTTCTGTGTTCTAGTGCCGTGAAGAAGGATACCCTCTTAATTGACAGTAGTACAATTGATCCTCTAGTATCTCAAAATATTTCCGTAGAGACCTTGAAGAAGGGAGCGAAGTTTCTGGACGGTCCAGTGTCAGGAGGTAGATAGAAGTAATAGAGGGGGTAATCACTCGTGAAATTTGATGTACAGGTGATGTTGAAATGCCAGGAAATGCCATGCCATCCCTTGACATTTCAGAAGTCTTGTGAAGAAATTCAAGAATTTCGTGACATCTTCTGAATTTTCATCAAATTTCTCTAGAAATGCCATTTCACAATGCAGATGAATCGACAGAATGCGTTTTATTATAGCACGAGATACAGAGATTCCCTAGGGGCAACAGAAATTTTACAATACTAGGAGGGAATCGTCAAGTATCTGATTGATTTTGATGTTGTGTTTAGTGTCTTTTTCTGTGAAAATAAAGTAAATGTTTTTCTCTCCCTGAATTATCGTTGTAACCGTGAAAAATTCCATTGGAATTTGATGTTTCGGATTAATTGTCCGGGATGAATTGGTTTGGGATGAGTAGTCCGGGATGAATTCACCTGGAACCGCATTTTCCGCCTTCTCATTAAGTATCAATTAATCTTCCTAATTATCAATCAGTCAATGGCTTCACTGACTTCTTCGCTAGGTGTTGTTGGCGCACGTGATGCTACCTTGACCTTCATGGTGGGTGGCGAGAAACAACAGTATGAGAGAGCTAAGCCCCTGCTGGAAGCTATGGGAAATCGAGTGGTCCATTGTGGCGATGTCGGCATGGGACAGGTCGCTAAATTATGTAATAACATGTTGTTAGCTATTAGCATGATCGGCGTGTCGGAAGCTGTCAACCTTGCCGATCGGTAAGTCTCACGTGAAAATGACAATAAGAAAAATACAATTACACGGAGAGAAATATTCAATAAAAATTACGTATGTTTTTTGTAATTCCAGAGCGAAATGTGGTTGCAGGAAATTTTACGGAACTGTCACGGGCTTTTTACCTAAAATCACGGAATTTTTACGGAGCGTTCCGTAATTTTTACCTGAATCTCGTGTGAAAAATTACGATACCGTCATTTACATTTTCTGAGTCGATTCCGTAATCGGTGAGCGAACTGTGACTCCCGTAATTTTTACTGAATATTTCTCTCCTTGTGTATTACCAATGAGGATTATAATTGCAGTCGATTAAATAAGGAATTCTAAAATCTAAAATTGATTGGATAAACAGATAAATGAGTACATAATGAAATCAGTAGCGAAGCGGTAAACCGGGTTAAGTCGTTTTTTACTATTGGCTAGTTTTTGACGAATATCTCGGAATCTAAAAGAGATAGAAAGATTTTTGGCATGACCTTTTTTGTAGAGCTAATAGAGCGTTATAAAAAAAGTCATGAGAAAAATTTTGCTATCTCTCTTAGATTCCGAGACATTCAGCAAAAACTGGCTAATAGTCAAAATCGACTTAACTCGGTTTACCGCTTCACTACTGAAATGAATCAAGAAACATGAATAATTTAATAAATAATTGAAATACAATTATATCAATGAAGAGATCATCTCGTTACAAATTTCCGGTGAGGGTTTGGCAATTTCTAACAAGTAATATGTCCACTGAAATCTCAAGCAATTTTGTCATTGACAATTCATCATTTCGTGGAAAAATTCGACGCAACTGGAAATTTCAGTTTTATTGTTCCGTGAAAATTAATGAAAAATAAGGAAAATTCGGAGAAATCTCTCCTTGAATTCCAGATTCTTCAAATTTCCGGAAATACGTTCAAGAATTCCGGGAAGTTCCTGAAAATTCAAGGGAATTCCGTAGTGAATATTCATTTTTGCTCGAAAATTCATATCAATTGCGAAATTTCCGTCGCAAGAGCCGATGAAAAATTGGGACTTTATGAGAATTTCAGAGGAACTTGAAATTCCATTGAGTTTTTCACCGTAAATCGAAGTCAAGGTCTTTTTCGGACAAGTCAATCAATTTTTTTTAACAGTATATATGAATATCGTAAACAATCAACTTGATTGGTGTGTCCTTAGGGGATCATCTCATTCCAGGACTGAATAAAAATCATTTCAATCTATCTATCGACCTCTCATCATGATAATTCAACATTCAAGAGTGCGAATTAGCGATTGACTTTTTCCTTTCCATCACTTCTCTTGAAATAATAATTTCACTCGTTGGATCTTCCAGATTAGGATTAGATCCAAAAGTCATGACCAGTATCATCAACACAAGTACCGGCCGCTGTTGGTCGTCAGAAATCTACCCACCCGTCCCTGGAATAATTAATACTGTTCCCAGCTCGAATGACTACAAGGTATTCTATTCATGGAGTGATTGCACATGAATTTTCTTTTTAATTGAATTTCTTCCAGGGAGGCTTCATGACCTCATTGATAACGAAAGATCTCGGCCTCGCCCAGGCCGCAGCGACTCGAAGCAACGCAGTCATTCCCCTCGGTTCTCTCGCTCATCAAGTTTACAGAACGCTCATGGTTCACGGATTCCATGATAAGGATTTCAGCTTCATTTATCAATATCTCAAGGGCAATAAGTGAATGGGCAAAGATGCTCAAAGTTCATTAAAGAACGTATATTTTTATATAATTTTCTCGTGAAATAAATTTTTTATGAATTAATGAGTGAGATTTATTGAGTTAAGAATACAGAATGGGAAGAGTTTCTGTAGGAATTGCAATGAATTTAAATAAAATGCACTAAAATTTAGTGAAAACAACTTGATTTTTCTACTCAATTTTTTTATTCAATCGTGATAATAAATATTCACTCTCATCCACGAAGATAATGATCACTTTTTAGTTTACAATTATTTTTAGAAAATTTCAATAATTTACTGTTTTTCACATTGAAATCAACTATTTTCAGTTTTGTTACGTTCGACCCGTTCGACTGACATTCATCAACGCAGTCAACTAAGACATCCACAAAACAATCCTCTCAATTTCTCCTCTCCCTCCCAAAACCTTAAGACATTTCTGACAACCAAAATCTCAAACAAACATTCGCAGAAACAAGAATTTCTATCGAAAAAAATTGTGATTGGCCCAACACTCGATCGTCTGTGTGACATCATTAGCGATATTATAGTGTTTGAAATATTCAACTTTCAACAATTAATTATTAATCGTTGAGCAATATTTCGAACGTTTGCGAATGAAAAATGAATTATTCAGGTCCCAAACTTGAGATTAGAAAATTGCAAAAAATTCATGCAAGTCCCCTATTCCCAAATTACATATTTATACATATAAATTGAAAAAAGTGTGTAATTATATACCTTCTAAATACCCTTTAACAGCTAATAGTCTTCCTATTGAGCATCTCTAGTAAATAAAAAAAATCGGAAGAATTTCCGTAAATTTCAATAGAATTTGCTGAAATTTAGTGACAACATGATTTCAATAAATCAAATTTTTAAAAATTCTATTAAAATTTGACTGCAATAAAATTTGCTGAAATTCAATTAACATAAAATACCTGAAATTAATCACTTGTTACTGAATACTAACAAGTGATTATTCCGGAAGACAGATAAATTCACGAATTGTCACAATCGAAACAGTGAACCTTTCCCGCCAAGCCTCCCCCGCTCTTCGAAACCCGCCCAAACACTCCGCTCCCCAGAAACGCCTCGGAACCGAACCACTCGTGTCCCAGTGTCGGTAAACAAGGATGCAGTGACCGATCTCGTCCAAAAAATCGCTGAACACCGCTTGAAGAACCCCAGAAAGAGCCGCAGGACCTCAGGAATGTCTCTCATCACATCCAAAGGTAATCTCCCTCTCCAACCCTCCCCAATCACCCCCGAATTCTCCCCAAAACCCCTCTTAACCTCTCAACACCTCCAAAACTCGGCCGCGATCTCCCCCCCCCCGGAACAAAACTGGAACAGAACCAGTAGTAATGGCGTGTGCGTCTATCTCGTATATTTGATTTTCTCCGATAAACCACAAAAAAAAGTCTGTAATCACCCGTAAACTGGGCGTATTCATATCCCACGGTCTCCCCGCGATTCACCCCCGACTCCCCCAATGTTCTCGCCCGAAGTGCCACCAACTCCCCCCCCGAAATCGTGACAAAAAGGTTCTAGTGGTGCGCAGTGAATGACGAATACGTGTTGTAACGAAATAATAAGGGTACCAAATGTATCATTTAAACGTGACTAACATACCAACCAGCCTACATGGTAATTGTGACGCAGACTAGTGAATTCCCTCTAAATGAGACAAAGATCACTCGAGGAATAGCCCGAACAATCGTAATATGATATTGGTGAGATGAAGGTGACGGTGTGCTTTGATTCAGTGAGAGTGGTGGTGCCTTGTGGCGATGGCACCCTTTTGGTGCGTGATTTGATGCACGAGGCGATACTGAGATATCGCAAGGCCACTGGTAAAACCGATCCTGGCCCGACGATAACGTCCCTGTCGTCGCTGACAGGGGGCGGTCTGCTGGACCCCGACGATCGTCTGTGCGATGTTGCTGACGATCGTGAGCAGATTGTGGCGCACTTCAGTGGGACTGAGGTGCCCCACGTGGGTGGGGATGGTGCTAGTTCGGTGGGTACCAACAGTCCGGAGTTCTTCCAGCATCATGTGGACGTACATGGGAGGGTGTCTGGGATCAAGAGGGAGAGCACGAAGAGGCTGTCCATGCACGCGCTGTCGACGAGGGAGCCCAATCTGACGACTTATTCGGCGCTGTCCCTACCGAGGGAGTCGAGGAGGCGAGAGCCACTGGGTCAGGACGCCAAGGCAGCTTTCGAGCTCTCCAGCAAGGCTGAACTGCTCCTGAAGGAGGAGATTCGAGAGGTTGTCATCAAGAACGAGGCCGGACCCCTGGGGCTTCACGTGGTGCCTTGCTACGACCTCTCTGGGGACGACCAGGGGCTGAGGGTCGAGGGGATCGAGCCCAATGGGAGAATAGCCAAGGACGGACAGATCGACCTCCACGACAAGATCATCAAGATCAATGGGCACAATCTACTTCGCATCCCCTTCACGAAAGTTCAGGAGATCTTTCGAACCTGCATGGCTGAGCCCTGTCTCAAAATATCCGTCGTCAAGAGCAAGAAGAGTATGGAGAAGCAGATGAGCTCGAAGAGCCTCCCTGACAAGGAGCAGGAGGAGAGCGTGAGGAAGCTACAGTGCAGCACTTACAATCTTCTGCAGAATGCCAACACCAGGAAAATTGGGAGGATTCTGGAGATTGAGCTGACCAAGGGGGCTGAACCCCTCGGGTTCAGTGTCACCACGAGGGACAATCCAGCAGGTGGTCATTGTCCCATTTACATAAAGAACATTCTTCCAAGGGGGCCTGCTGTTGAGGACGGGAGACTTCGGCCTGGGGATCGACTGCTGGAGGTGAACAACGTGGAGATGACTGGCAAGAGCCAGGACGACGTGGTCTCCTTGCTGAGGAGCATTCCACCTGGGGGAAAGGTGAGGATAACTGTCTCTCGACAGGAGGATGTGCCCAGTGCAGCTGATGCTTCGGGTTCTGAAGTGACACCAGACAAACCGACAGCTGAAATGCGCTTTTCATCGCCGAAAAAAGCGCCCAAGGCAGAGTCACCTCCAACTACTCCATTCAAACAAGTGCCTTTGGACGATGTCGTTCTCTCCCCGAGGAAAAATCGAATGATTCTGACTCTGGATATACCAGTTCACGACTCGGAAAAGGCTGGACTTGGGGTCAGTGTCAAGGGGAAGACCAGCAGCACTGATGATCACTCGAGTATGGACCTTGGTATTTTTATAAAATCAGTGCTCAACGGTGGGGCAGCATCGCGTGACGGTCGTCTACGTACCAACGATCAATTGCTCAATGTCAATGGTAAATCTCTGCTGGGTTTATCGAATTCTAAGGCTATGGAGACACTGAGAAGTGCCATGCTCAATACAAACAGCTCAGTAACAGGTGTCATAACACTGACAATAGCGAGACGAGTATCGCCTGCGTACGATAATTGTGATGGTATTGGTAAAATTGAGACTGCTAACAGTATTTACGTGTCGGATGATAAATCTGATAAAAATTGCCTCAATCAGGAGGCCATTGACGAGGAACTACTGCCATCATCGTCGTCACCCTGGAATCCAGTTATCGATAGATTAACAGAACAGTATAATAAGAATAGTTTGAGAAATGAGAGCTATTGTTTGGCGACTAATAAGACGTGGGTGGAGGGGAAGAAGGTGATTATTGGGGAGCAGGAGATGCTGCTTGAGGAGTCCAGTGAGAATGCGGAGGAGAAGAAGAGCGGTGAGGGGAAGGATAGTCATTATGACAGCCAGTTGTCACTTGAGGAGTTCAATTCAGCTAAATTTTCGAGGGATGCGCTGGGGAGGCAGAGCATGTCGGAGAAGAGGCATGCAGCGTTGGATGCCAAGAGCACGGACACTTACAAGAGAAACAAGAAAATCAGGGAGGGCAGGGAGAAGGAGAGCCAGGAGGAGGGAGGGGAGAAGAAGGAGGAGAAGGGGGAGAGCTCGTTCGAGGCAGCTAGGAAAAAATTCGAGAAGTTTGAGAAGAATTCAGAGGCCAAATCAGAGTATATTTACACAATTCCTGGGTGTAATAGCAAGTACATCTCGCCTAGGAAACATTGGCTGGTGGATGAGGGGCATGGGAATGTCGCCAATGGACAGTTCAAGGAGGAGGGCGAGGGGTTCTCCAATAGTCGAGGGGATGTCAAGCAAGCCTCGTTGAATTCAGCCCTCGACGAGAGGTACAAGAGGTCCAGGAAGAAGGGGGGCATCAGGTCCATGTTGAGGCTGGGGAAGAACAGAAAGTCTCTTAATTTTGGGGATAATATAGAGGGGAGACATGAGACTAGCAATTACTGCAGTGGCACCATCAATTACATTGCATAATGATTTTATTCCAGTTGTTGAAAGCCTTTTTGAAGGGAAAATCGAGAGAATTCCATTATTTTTTTCTTCTTTGATTAATCATGTACTTATGTAGGAGATAGTTACAATTGTAAAACTTGCACGATTTATTTTTTATTGAAGGATATCAGTTGTTTCATGTTGAATGTTCCAAAGTGCCTTATGAAAAATGAAATAGGATGAGGTGATAAAGTGTGGAAGATCATTATTATTTTTTCCGTCTGTATATATTATTCTATTTTTTTTATATCAGTACTTGAATCGAATCATGTAATCTATTTTGCAAACAATAAATGATTTTTTTTCTTTGCACAATGCAGTTGACGAGTTCTCGAGTTATTTCATTTAGTTTTGTTATCTTTCTACTGGGGAAGTGGGGAATTTTTCAGTGGTGACGTGAGTCGAGGGTCCAGAGAATGAAAAAGGCAATTGATATTTCATTAATATAATGGCTCTTGTGGTTTATTTGTTTTTTAATTGTTGTTTTCGGTTATTTTCAGCCTTTCGTCACGTGCAGAGGCCTCTGATCCTGGAGCAACGACGACACAAGAGTAAAATTAACGTCCAGAAGCCCAGAAAGCCTTTTTACCTCAGAGGTGTCTTCAATGAGTTCGTCACACCATTCTGGCCGGTAAAGAGTGAGCCGAAGCCTCTCTGGGAATTGTGTGACAATGTCACAAACCCGAAGAAGACAAATTTATCTGAGGAACCCCATCCCTACCAGGTGGTCCTGGCGAGGGAGTGCTTGAATTGGTACAAGAACTCACGAATGGTCGCGTTTCTCCACAAGAATTCCATTAAGGGTGAGGACGAGATGGATCTGCGGATTCTATTGAGACGGGACAACATGTTCCTGAAGTACTGGGGAATGAATACTGCTAAGGTCGCCCTCAAGGGGACCCGGTACGAGACTGTTCTGCCACTGTTCTGTTGCCCTGGTGCTATCGTTTTCAGTCCTGAATGGAATGTTCCAAAATTGAGGAAATGCCTCAGGACTACTCCGCAGTTTGTACTCATGGGTGAGTGAGAGTGATAAACGATTTTTAATCTTTTTGGGAATTGGGTTTTAATGTCTGAAGGAGATTTAGGTTAATTTTTTTCTCTGGTAGGGGAATGAAAGCACTGATTAACGATTTCTTACATCATTCATAGCCGAAAGAAATTTAATTGATAATCGCGCATTTTATCAATTGATGGATTAATCGATGATCTAATTTGATTCAGTAGATTGGTGAAGTGATTTATAATTACCTTTTTCTTCTACATTCGATTTTTTAATCTTTCAAAAAATATTTATTTTCCACAAATTTGTAAATGTTTGGGAGATGATGTTTTTTTTATTCTGAGGGTATCCAAGTATTTTCTAATTAAAATTCTTTTCAAAACTTGTAGTTCAACATCAGAACTTCTGTTTCAAACACTTTATAATGGCTTTCTTATGTAAACTTTGGAGATGTAAATTTCATTCTTTAGTTTGAACAGTTGAAAAACATGTTTTTAAACCAAAAAATAGGAAAGCACTGATTGATGACTTCTTACATCATCAATAGCTGAAAGAAATTAATAGATAATCGCAATTTATCAATTGATGGATCAATCGATGATCTAATTTGATTCACCAGATTGATGACGTGAGTTATAATTCCCTTTTTTCTTCTATATCCAAATATCCAATTTCTTAATCTTTGTAAAAATATTTGCTTTTTTATTTGAAGAATTTATAAATATTTATGAGTATTACAACTATTTTAGACATATTTTTTGCTGAAATTCTTTTTGAAACCTCAACATCAAACTTATATTTGAGCCATTTTACAATGATTTTATCATTTAAACTTTGCAGATGTGAATTTGAATCTCGAAATTTTGCCATTTGTAATTTAGTTGACAATACTTCATGAGAAAGACTCATAAAATAGTTTAAAACTGTTCCGTAAATAATTTATAAACTATCAATCTCGTTCCAAAGATCTTTCAGATGTCCCAATAGTCAAACTCGGTTAAGGGGTCGAAATAATCATGAAAAATAAGAACAATATTTTTAAAAAAATGAAGAATTCTTTTGAATCCACTTGATTCGAGATAAACGCAATTAATCCGAGTTTTCTCATTGCAGCTGGGATCCTAGACGATAGGCTGCTCAACGTCAACGATTTCCTAAAATACGGTCAAATGGATATAACGTCAGCGAGAGCTGGATTGGTGCAAACGTTTCAGTCAGCAGCTGGTGCTAATCTCTGCCGACAACTGACGCATCATCAAGAGACACTTGTCACACGTCTGGGACAGATTGGCAAAGGGGAGACAAAGGAGCCATCACCAGAGGAGACTTGAATTTAATTTATCGTGCTCTAGGAATAAGAAGACTTTAATAAATCAATATGACAGATTTATTACACCTTTTTTGGTGAAAATGAATGAAATTGTCGCATTTTCACGTACATTCTGCCTTTAAAAAACATCACAAATTCCTTGGATAACGGTATAAACACTCTTTCATAATTCAAGTATAGAAATTAAACGTTAAAATTGAACTTGTATAACTCTTTTAAACGATTAGGTGAGTACTTAATGTTAATGACAGTAGTTGCAACGAGGATGACACTTGACTCCGTTCTCCTGACATCTACAGCCTCCAGAGGTATCACCCTTACCACCAGGCCCCCATCTTGGTCCCTTTGTAACCCAACATATTTCTGTTTTGCACATTGAGCAACGCAACCAGTCGCATCCCCACTTTTTCATCAGGACAACGGCACACGTTGGACAAATCATTGCTTCACCACTGTCCAGCATGGCTGTCAGCATTGCTGCTGTTCTCGTTGCCTCTTGATCAGTGCCACTGGACAGTCTGACGTCCTCTTGGTACTCCCAACAGTTTTTTCCATCGTGAATTACCTGGAGAACACAATTGACATCACATTTTCAGGATAATTATTTCTTTTTTTCAACTTTTTTTTGTCAAATGATGTTTAATTTGAGGTGATTGGGTTAATCAGTGAGTGTTGGATCTGACACGAGTTGGTCTTGGTACTCCAAACAGTTCTTTCCAGTGTGAATTACCTAAAGAACAACATTGAAATCATATTTTGAGGGTAATAATTGCCTTTTGGAACCTTCATTTTGATTAATGTTGTGGTGATGGGGGGG